TAGTATATATATATATATATATATATATATATATATATATATATATATATATATATATATATATATATATATATATATATATATATATATATACATGAATACTCAAGTTAAGATTCATTCAATTCAATACACATTTTATTCTTTTACACTGTTGATCTTCTTCTTAGATTAGAATATCATAAAACCTCAATTAGAGGCTTTAATATGGTATCAGAGCAAGTTACCGATTCAACATCAATGGCTACGGAGCTAGTTATTCCTTACACTCATCCTTTATACTTGCATCCATCTAATGCTCCAGGATCTATACTTTGTCATTTTAAGTTGACAGGGACAAAGAATTATGAATTGTGCTGGAGGTCGATGAAAATTGCTTTGCAAGCGAAACGAAAGTAGGGTTTGCGACAAAAACTTGCAAGAAGGCTAGCTTCACAGCTAAGTATCATGATCAGTGGGATACTTGTAATGCTATTGTTCTGTCATGGCTCATGAACACTGTTGCTCCTAGTCTCTTGAGTGGTATTGTGTACTTGTCTGATGCATCTCTTGTTTGGGAGGATCTGCAGGAACAATTTGATAAGGTCAATCGTGTAAGTATCTACCAATTACACAGAGAGATAGCTACGATTGCACAAGAAACTAATGTTTCATACTATTTTACAAAGTTGAAGGAGTTATGGGCGGAGTCTGATATAATGGTGATATTTTCGAGTTGTGAATGCCCAAAATCGAAGGATGATGTTGAGCATTTGAGACAACAACGACTGATTCAATTCCTTGGAGGATTGAATGAATCACATTCTCAGGCGAGAAGGCAAATTTTAATGAAAACAACTAAACCAACTCTTAATCAAGCATATGCTATGATAAAAAATGAGGAAAGTCAGAAATATGATATGGATCACAATGCTATGGGGATGAAAACTTTAATTGAAGAAAACGATGTCACATCTTTTTTGACTGCTAAACAACCTTCAAAACCTAGATACAAGAATCCTAATACATTTTGTGATCACTCTAAGTCAAAAGTTCATATGAAGGTGATTGTTTTCAGCTTGTAGGATATCCTCCTTGGTTTAAAGGGAAGAAGAAAGAGGGATGAAATGTGCAATACAATACATCTATTACCTCTTAGAATCCTCAATTGTTTAATTCTGAATATGATGTTCATAATGCAGGACATATGGTTGCACCTTCTTTTGGAAATTTATCTTTTCCTCTGAATCATAATGCATGAGAGGTATGTACACATGGTGGAGAACATGGTCAATCTGGTGATTCTACCTGTTTCATCCCATCTGCATCTCAAGAACCTGGTGGTTACAATCAAGTTATAGTGGACAATTATAATTCTGGACATGGTTATGGAGGAAGAGGAGTAAATATGGCTTTCATGGGAGGAGGTCACCATGTTTCACATGGATCTCAGTTTCCAGATGTTTCAGGTATTATAAATTGCTCTGCAATACATAATTCAACTAGTTCTAGGTGGATAGTTGACAGGGGAGCTACTAACCACATGGTATCCAACCACAGGTTGCTTTATGAGACTCAAAATGTATCCCCAACTGAATCTCATAAGGTTTATTTACCTAATGGTCAACAAATACCTATTGCTCTCATTGGGAAGTCTAAACTTAAGCAAGGGAACATATCTAATGTTTTGTACATTCCTAATTTTAGTTACAACTTGTTATCAGTTTCTCAATTGACCAAAGAGCTTCATTGTTGTATGGTTACCATTATGTGCTGCAGGACCTTCACATTGGGGAGGTGAAGAATACTGGTAATTTAGAGAATGACTTATACTATTGGTCATACGATATTGATACTGTTATTGCACCCTCAACTCCTTTAAGCATGATGGACACTGCTGATTTGTGGCATGGAAGATTAGGACACATTCCTCACAGAATTCTTCAACAAAGGCATTTACCACATCTTCCAGCTTAAAAACAACCTTTATGTAGTATTTGTCCTTAGGCAAAACAAACCAAAACACTAGTAGATGTAATGTTGTGTTTGACTTGGTACATGGTGATGTCTGGGGTCTATATAAAACTCCAACTTATGATGGTCATCGATATTTCCTTACATTAGTAGATGATTGTAGTAGGATGGTCTGGATATTTCTTCTCAAATGAAAAGTGATGTTTCCATTGTATTGAAGGATTTTCTTAATCTAATACACAGATAGTTTAATGGTCATGTGAAAGTGTTCCGAAGTAATAATGGTTCTAAATTTTTTAAATTTCATTGTGGTGATTGATGAAAGCTACTAGTATAATTCATCAAAGTTCCTGCCCTTATACTCTTAAAAAATGGAGTAATAGAGAGGAGGCATAGACAAATCCTTGAGGTTGCAATGGCCATTAGATTCCAGGCCAATTTGCCTATCAAGTTTTGGGTGTGTGCCCAAAGTGTTGTGTACTTGATCAATAGAGTTCCATCACCTGCCCTTTCTGGAAAGTCTCCTTTTGCTATGTTTTTTGGGAGGGAACCTTCTTTGCAACATCTTAGAGTTGTGGGGTGTTTGTGTTATGTTGTTAGTCATAATACAAATGGGGACAAGTTTGGTGCTAGGTTCATTAAGTCAGTTTTCTTAGGCTATTCTTCTACACAAAAGGGGTACAAACTTTATAATCTTTCCACCCAATCTATTTTTATTAGTAAGAATGTTATTTTTAAAGAGAATGAATACCCTTTTCAACTAGGTCTTGAATTCCAACACCTACAGTCCATAATATTTCTGACATGTTTGCTTATGATGATCAACACATTTCTCTTGACAGAATTACAGTACCTGTTCGTCATACAAATGAGAGGCTTGCAGTACTTGTTCTTTCTATCATTGAAGCTCCTGATATGACTCCTCATCCTTCTGCATCTCTTTCACATGATACTTCTGGTTGCATGATTTTCCTCACATTGTTTCTTCTTCTTCTGGTTCAATGCCCCGTTCTACTACACATCCCATTTCTACGTACATGTCATACGCCTCTATTTCTCCTTCCTACTATCAATCTTGGTGTCATTTTTCTGCTGTACGAGAACCTGCTTCTTATGCAGAAGCCATATAGTATCCCCAGTGGGTCCTTGCTATGAATTACAACCTTGCATGATAATCATACTTGGCAACTGGTTACATTACCTCCTGGAAAGAAATTTATTGGCTGCAAATGTGTCTATAAGGTCAAGTTTAATGCCCAAGGTGAGGTGGATAGATATAAAGCACGACTAGTAACTAAAAGTTACACACAATAAAAGTTGTTGGATTATCAGGAAACCTTCTCCCATGTTGTCAAAATGTTTACTGTAAGGGTGGTTCTATCTCTGACAGCTATGAATGGTTGGATTTTACATTAGATGGATCTTTGTTTAATGCTTTCTTGCATGGTGATGTAGATGAGGATGTTTACATGTCCCTCATCCTAGTCTATTATGTGAGGAGTTGTCCAAAGTTTGTAAACTTCAAAAGTCACTTTATGGTTTGAAGGAAGCCTCTCGATAGTGGAATTTGAAATTGTGTGAAACTCTTATTGGTTCTGGTTTTGTTCAGGGTCACCATGACTACTTTTTGCTCCATAAGAGTTCTGGTTTGGACCTGGTCCTCATATTGGTTTATGTTGATGATCTTTTGATCACTGGTTCTAGTTCACAACTAATTCAACAGACCAAGTCTATGCTTCAAGCTCTTTTCAAGATCAAGGACTTGAGGGGATATGAGTTACTTCCTTGGTCTTAAAATTGCTAGGAATGAGGAATGCATTATTGTCAATCAAAGGACATTTGCTTTGGATCTTATTTCAGATTTTGGATTGGAAGGAACCAAACCAATCAGTACTCCTTTAGAGATTAATCAGAGGTTCACAAGTCAAGAGTTTGACATGTATTATGAGTATCAAGAAACACATGAGGATGTGATACTTAATGATCGCACATGTTAGCAGAAATTGGTTGGTAAGCTACTCTTTCTCATAATGACAAGGCCAGACATTAGCTATGTAGTATAGAACCTTAGCCAGTTTATGCATAAGCCAAAGAAATCCTACATGGATGGGGTTTTAGGAGTGGTAAGGTACTTAAAGAATGCACCAGGTTTGGGGTTGTCTACTATGATGCTGACTGGGCTACATGTCCTATGACAAGAAGATCTGTGAGTGGATTTGCTGTGAAGATTGGAGACTCTTTGATTCCATGGAAATCAAAGAAACAAAATACAGTTTCGAGGAGCTCGGCTGAAGCAAAATACAGGAGCATGGCTAATGCTGTGGCAGAAATGGTTTAGTTAGTAGGCTTGTATAAAGAACTAAAGGTGGAGTTCGAGTTGTTAGCCAAATTATTCTGTGATAGTAAGGCAACATTCAGATTGTTGCTAATCTTATACACCATGAAAGAACAAACATATAGAGATTGATTGTCATTTCATTAGCAAAAGAATACAAAAATGTGTTATTCAAACAAGTCATGTACCATCTAGAATGCAGTTAGCAGATATGTTAACCAAAAGTTTGGGGAGGACTCAACATGATTTCTTACTATCCAAGCTTGGTGTGTACAATATGTTTGCACCATATAGCTTGAGGGGGAGTATTGAAGATACAAAAGTTAGTTAGTAGCTAGATGATGTGGCAGAGTAATTAGTTAGAGAATCAAATTAGTAATTGTTCCTTTCCGTTAAGCAGTTAGAAGGAGATGTACATATGTACATGTATACTCAAGTTAAGATTCATTCAATTCAATACACATTTTATTTTTTTACAGTGTTGATTTTTCTTAGATTAGAATATTAGAAAACCTCCATTAGAGACATTAATACTTTCCAAGGTTCTTATATTTAGTTATTTATAGGGTTACACTGAGTAGACGTTGAGTCCCTAGACTTATATTGATCAAGGTCGATTCTTATATCCTGAAGATGACATGGTTATCATCAAAATGGAAAATTTGTTGAGATAATGGATGAATAATGGAGGAGATTATCTCTGAAACTTACATGGTACATCAAAATCTATGCGATAAAATAAAAATGAAAACATTTAAGACACACTCCCTAAATAAAATAAAGTTGTATCAAGTCAACCGTTGGAAAATTACACATCGGAGGGGGAACTTTACCACCTTTACCTCCAAATTAACAAAACAAGAACATCAATGTTCGCGATTAAACAAAAAGGAAATACATATTATATAAGAAAACACTTGAAATCTCGAGATTAAATTTTAGAAAAATCTCATTTTTATACGAAATCTTAATTGGTCTTCCTGCAATTTTTACGAATTTGGCCGTTGGTTCCAGTAAGTGGGCTAAGATTACCCATTTTCACCATAGCTTTTGCAAAATCAGCTAAGAAAGTGGCTGAATTTGAACTATAAGTGTTAACTATAGAGTCTGTTGAGCCTCCACTAGAGAGTTGTTGGTCAGAATGAAGAAGACCCTTTTGAATTCGCAGATTCTTATAGTAAATATTATCAAATGTAGTTGGGCTTGTAGTGTCTAATGGAGAGACATTATTGTCACTTCCACTTTGTGGACATTTCGATTTAATCGATGTTGCAAATGAAGCATTTATATCAGTTTCGTTGTGTAGACGATCGCGAAAAGTAGTGCACCTTGCTTGTCCTATCGTGTGAGACCCTGTCAAATCCAAAGATATTTCAATTTTAACATATTTTCTATGAGTCTCGTAAATTAATTAAAAATTAATTATATTTAAATATAAAAATAAACCTGAGAGAGCGACCATTTCTCTGGTATTGAAACCTTTGTTAGAGAAAGAAGAAATAAGACTGCTTAAGTTCAAAGTTGGTGCAGGAATGTCACTATTTGCGTTACTCAAACTTGCAGTGGTTGAGTCTCTTCTTCCAAGTAATACAGTCCAACTAGGTCCACCAAGCTAACAAATCATAAACAATATAATATAATTAGTTTCAACAACTAATTTATACACTTTATAAGCACAACATCCAATTATTTAATTTGTATATTCAAACTTTGACTAATGCTCAGCTTTCTATAAAGGTCAACATGTTTTCTTTTCCTTTTCCTAACTATTAGTTAAATATAAACTAAATAGGATGTGTGTTACTAGTTGGTATTTTAATTTATTGTAATTTGTAAGGCATGTTACACGATTTAAATTGTTAGCTTACTTTAACAACAGAGTCTCTAGCTGCAACAGCTAAAATATCAGCACAAGATACGACACCAGCACATGACGATTCAATTTGAGTTTTGATAGTATCAATCACATCGAATCCCCTTAAGGATCCACTATTGGGATTAGCCGTCTTCTCTCCAGTAAAACTTGATGTATCATCTAATAACACAGATGCATCACAACCCTGCATGCACGTTCAAATAAGTAAAATAAGTTGTCATGTGGAAAATTTTGTTTGCACGACACTTATAGAGGCATAAGCCGAATTCGAAGCTTATAAATTTGAAATTGTTATTTTAAATTATTAAGTTTTAAATTAATAATTTGTACACAAAGTTAGAGCCAAAGTTATTAAGTTCGATTAGTAGAAGTCCTTGTCTACACTCTTGCTCCACCCTTGGATGCATGAACGCGTTATTCGACAGATTCAGTAGCTTGAGTTCAAATTTTGTGTTTGTGTTGCAAAATTAATCCATATGTTTAAACAATTTATCAAGACCTCTTATGAAATTGAAAAATTCTGATTTCACCTCTGCATATATGAAGATTAAGTAAGACAACTTACATTAACGAAGCAATCGTGAAAATGAAGACGAAGCAAAGAGGCTCCCATGCGAGACTCCTTAGCGATAGCAGAATTGACAGCTGTTTTGATTATGGAAAGAACATTTGGACATGAAGAATTATAGAAATTGGAAGTCAATTGAGCTGAGCTCATTCCAATAAGAACAAAAGGGACTATAACTAGTAATAGTAAAAAAGACATGTTAGCCATTACAAAGAAATTATTAGCTATAAAATGAAGAATTAAGATGAAAAGATATTGTCTAAGTTTATTGCTTAGCACTGCTTAATGTGGAATATTGTACTTAATTCTTCACATATTTATAGTAGTAGGAAGCAGAAGAGTGTCCCAAATTGTCAAAGTTTACCTTAATTATTTAAGTATTTCTTAATTCCATTTTCTTTTAAGAGTAGATTGAAAAAAATAAAATTAGACGCATCATATTTTTCTAAGATTGGTGCATATAAGGCCAATTGCAGCCAGTTTGATAGATATTTGTGATTTATTACCTTATATTCTCAAATTTACGAATACATTAATTCATAAAAATATAAATATGTAATACATATATTAGATTTTATATTTGACTTCAAATTTTAACTTTAATTTTGAACTTTTATAATGCACGAACAGACATTTTAACTATTCAACTTTTAAATAAATAAACATATGAGTCCTACATGGCACAATGCACGTAGGACACCACGTAGGACAAAAAATGACATGTATGACATGTGTGTTGAGTTGTTCAACTTTATACAAATTTAAGTATCTATTTGTGCACATACAAAATTAAAAGACATAAATATAATTTAAAGACAAGTTAAATGACACATTTATATATTATATCATATATAAAATATCCCCTCGCGTAGGCTAATGGAATTCATTGCTATAAGTGGAATTAAAAAAGTAAGTAGTTCAAATAAAAAATTAATTAATTAATCATAACAAAAGAGAATATAAGTTTTAAAATTTTAATAAATATAATAAGATTCACTTTAATATTTAAATGTATACCTTAAAAAATGTTTCCTTTTCTGAATGAAAACTTATGCGAAGTGGAATGGGATGAATTTATGCGGGTAGTGCGGAGGAAAAAAATTATTTGTATAGGATATTTATATTAAATTAATTTAATTTTTATTATTATATAATTTAATAAAATAAAATTTATATCAATTAATTAAATTTAAATAAAATGAACTGATAAATTTAAATACATAACTTAACATGCATATATTGAAATGATATAAACAACTACCAATAAATTTATGTGAGGCGGTGTGGGGAGAGGCCCACACTGTTTCATTGCCACCCTTAGTTGGATATGATTTCAGAGTAAGAAAATAAATTTTATATTTGTATTAAGATTTATTATATTTTAGAGAAAATAAGTAATTATTTTATTAAAATAAGATTAGTTTTTAAAAGATATTTGAATTTTATAAATTTTAAGATTACTTAAACAATTTTAAAGTGTTAGTAAATATTTCATTTTTTGTCACTTTCGATTGCAAGAAAAGATGTACAATCACGAACGATTATTATTTGCTCCGTGTTAAATTTATTTTTAATCTTCATTTTCTTTTTTTCTTACTTTCTATTAACTTCATTTTTCTTTTTGTTTTTCTTTTTCTTCAATTTTCATTTTCTCTTTTTCGGTCCTTCTCACTTTCTCCTTCTAGCTGCCATCACCGTGAGTAGTTGTCTTTATCATGTTATTATTATTATTATATCATTTCCACCATTAATATCATAAAATCATTGTTACTTTAAAATTATAATTACTTACAAAAGTAAATTGAAAAATAATAATCACCTCCAATCTATCATTTTCTTTTCAAAAAATCATAACAATTACGCGTTGAAACTCAATTACGATGAAAGTAATAAAATTTTATAATACTCTCAAATTGAAAAAATTTCTTTATTTAGATGCTAAAGAACTAGTATTAATTTATTATTTTTTTTAAAAAAAATAATATTATCAGAAGAAGTTTACAGTTATTATTATTTTAGAAAGATAAGGGATTAAAAAAAATGAAACAAAGAGGAGCAAGAAGACAAGAAAAAAATGAGTGAAGTAAATGAGTATCAGGTCGAAGAAGATAGAGTAGAGGTAGTTGGTTCATTCGAGTTTTGTCGAATAAGATAACAAAAAATAAAGAATTGAGAAAGTACAAAAAAATAAATTAAAAGAAAAGAAAAAAATAATAATGGAACAACAAATTCTTTCTAAATAATAATAAATGAATAATAAGACTCGTTCAAGTGTTTTTCCAAAAAAACAGGTCTTAATTTAATGAGATAATTATGTATTTTTTATTATAATTGAGAAAGTAATCAAAAACTCTCTCAACGCATTAGTCAATTTTCAACTATACAGTTATTCTATACGAAATCATGTTACCCCTGAACTATTAAAATATAAAATAATCACTTCCCTAAAAAAAGGCATAACAAGTTTTATCTCAAAGCTGTGCAACACACTGTACATTCATTTTAGTTTTCTTAACCTTTTTTTTTCCTCCTATATGTTATTATAAGCCTAATCAAAAC